CAAACTCATGACTCTAAGAGACTCATTTAATTAAACAGGGTGGGCACAACTTACAAGAGTCGCCGCGCACGCAAAACTTGCGTTTTTTCCCAGGCCTCTTATATTTTTGTGTAATTCAGAAGCCTGAACCTTAACCAGGGAGTAACACTTGAGTAAACCGACAGTGTTTGCGCACGATACCTCCAAAAAGTCTCCAAGTGAATGAGGCCGTGGTGTGCAGGCATCAAAAAATATGCTGGGTTGGGAAGCCTTTCTAAACGGACCGGATGTGGGAAAGCATCCACTGTCGATGCCTGAGCCTATCATAGGATTCAACGACCACTTGTGTGGCTCGGAACCGTTCAGTTCGTAAGTGGCACGAATATTATCGCCATAATGGTTCGAATCCGCTCAGTTGGGTGCTCTGAGTTACTATGATCCGAGGCCTGCAAAAAAAGCTCAAGACTTTGCATTAGAACGGAAACGTGAAGAAACATAACCTCAATTTCGGAAGACGAGAAGAAAATCGAGTGCAGACCACACACCATAAGAGACGACGGCCAAAAAAGCCGCTTTTCTCTTGGCCGTCGTCTCTTATGATGTGTGGTCTGCACTCGATTTCTTCTCGTTTTTAAAAATAGAGTATAATTGCATGCCGCGATGGATACTTCTGAAAGCGACTACGAATGCAAGTGCTAAATATTGTTCCTTTTCCTTTTACAGTGAAATGTTTCTTCCAGTCAAAATTCAAACTCATCAATAGTTTGCGCCCACCTTGTATGATATATGTTTATTCAATAGCGCGTTCAAAAAAAAACCAGAGGATAAGCAGAGAAAAACTGAATATACATGGAACATCGATGTACATAACCGACGCTGCCATGGTTAAAAAAAGGCCACGTCTTGGAATTCAAAACGATATTTTTCAAACAACTGGAAAGGAAACAGCAAAAACAACATTGTAAGCGATCCATAGAACTTGCATGATACCGAAAAACGATGAACCAAGCATCTATTTCTTAATCATGGAACAGAGGACCTAGACACTCGCTGCACTTCAAGTTTACAACGAACATGAGCGAAAGCCACATAAGTTCAGCGTCACAGCATATAAGAAGCAAGTTTATTGAACGATCTTGCTTGAGCTTGGAAGAAGACTGTAAAAGAGAGGATAAGGGAGAAAGTTTGGCTTGAGGGCAAATTTAAGGCAAACCCAGGCAGAAGTCGTGTGAACGATTCCCTTCGGTGTGTGGACTCCTAGAGGACAATCACAGATGTGGCATTCCCGTGCACGGAAATCAACCGACAAGAGCGCTAGGGCCTTGCAAAGTAAGCTGCAGCAGCTGCAATTTTTTCTTTATCAGGCTGTTGTCTGGCGCCCTCTCATCTGTTGCGCTCTCTCGCCTCATACTCTCCTCTCCGCGCTTAGTCTCTCATTCCCTTAGCACAGCCGATTAGGAAGGTGAGTGAGCCCTTAACCTAAGCGTTTTCGACGGATTCTTCCTTTTTCTTTACTGCCGGCCCATTTCGCACCAACATTCGCATTCGTGTGCAAGAACCACACCAATTTGATCCTGGGGCATGCCTTTAAAAAACACACCAACGCTCTCATAAATCTGATGGGCTGTCTCAAAAAAGAGGCTCAAACAACTCCTCGCTTTCGTCCATTATGTAACTACCAAAAATTGTTAGACCTAGCGGGAAATAGCGCCACTTCCAACGGGCGGTGTCTGGGTGTCAAGCCTCGGATCGAGTCTCACTGAGCCCAACTAAGCCTTTTTTCCAACGGGTCGCCTAATTGGTACCGAACTCGTATAAGGGATAAAACAGTGAACTGCTCATCGTCTGGCCCTCGCAGGTCCCCATATGGATGGTGTCAGATTTGCGATCTATCGCACGTTCGCGCAAATCGCAAAAGTCGCAAGTGCCCATTTGAACATTTGAAACACTGAATATGAAACAAGTAGAATCATGAACAGTCGTCATTCAACCACCAACATCAAGCAGAAATAGCGGCGGGAATGGAGAGCACCTCAGGTGTGGTTCATTAGGACAGAAAGCGATTTTTCGCGTTTCGCAGCGCGAAACATTTTCGCTGCGGGAACCTCAGGTCCACTGATGATTCGCTGCGGAACCTCGGGTCCACTGATGATACCACACCCGAGCACCTCACAATCTTGATTGGAAACCTGTGATTTTAATCCGTCGCGTGATTCGCGCGAATGCGCGACGAATCACAAATCTGACACCATCCTACTACTTGTATACTATATACTATAAAGCGCTTCGTCTGTCGTCTGTCGTTCTGTATGTCTGTCACGAAATTCCCTAGCTCCTCGGGATCCGCCTGGAGGGACCGGGTCAAGTGTGGGATGGGTGGGCAAGGTCTCACGAAGTACAAAACACACATCAGCTAAGCGGAGCCCCGCCCACAGTGGGCGTGGCGTGCATCGAAATGAACTGTACTGAAGACCAAGATTTCAATTTCAGTGACAAAACAGCCTCGAAACTGGGCCAAAAAGTGGGTAAAGGTGTGCATTGGTAAGTCACATCGAATTAGGGAGACCCACCCCGGTGGGCGGGGCGTTCTCTAAAAAAGCAGTGCTTTATGAAAAATTTCATAACTCGGTTGGGAGAAAGCCTACAGAGCAGAAAACAATTGGTGTAAGGGAGCAATGTCTAAGGTGTTTCCTGCATACATGACGTGGGCGGAGGCCCGCCCACAATGGGCGGAGCGCGCTCTGAAGTGTACAGCATTTTCTACAAGTCCTCATAATTCGGGCCGGGGAAGTCTTAAAGAGCCGGAAAAAGGTGGATAGAGGTGTATGGAGGAGTGGAGGCCAGCTGTCAATGGTGGGCGGGGCTTGACCAAAGTGGGCGGAGTTTGCGACGAAAATTCATAACTCGGCTCCAAGAAGTCCCGGAGGCGGGAAAAAGGTGGATGGAGGTGGGTGGAGGAGGAGGTTAAACTGCATTGGTGGGCGGGGCATGTTCAAAGTGGGCGGAGTTATCAACGAAAATCATAACTCGGTCCTCCAGAAGTCTCGGAGGGGGAAAAGGTGGATAGAGGTGGGTGGAGGAGTGGAGGTTAATTGTCATTGGTGGGCGGGGCCTGACCAAAGTGGGCGGAGTTTGCGACGAAAATTTATAACTCGGCTCCATGAAGCTCCGGAGGCTGGGGAAAAGGTGGATGGAGGTGGGTGGAGGAGTGGAGGCTTAAGTGCTATTGGTGGGCGGTCGCAAAATTGAATCACCATCACTCTTAGAAGGTTACACCGACCACTACCCTCACCATCCTCACAATCATGGTTGCTTCTATACAGTATTTTGCACTGTATAGTCTAGTATTTGGCAGTTTCATGAAGGTTTCTCCAAGCTCGTCGAAAAACCCGTCAAATACGACACCTTTGAACGACACGTTCACACTGTTCCCAAAAATAGTTAACTTCCCAAATCACAAATGCGACCCCTCACTCGAATAGTGCTACTGGACGCTTGACCCTGGTTGGAGGGATCAGCGAACTGTCACAGTGTTAAATTCGTCTCGTGGTGGTAACTTCGCTCGTGGGGTAACTTGATAGCCAGATTACGGAAACGACATTCATTTTTTAGCGCTGGCGCTATCTGGCGCCCTTTTTTGGTGGCACGCCTGCACTCTCTCCCTACTATGATCGCGATCAGGACCAAGCCATATGGGTAGAGGTCAGCGGGGAATAAACCGCTCTCCATGAGATTTCATACATTTCA